ATTTAGTGATTGAAAACACCTTTTTAGATATAATTACTAAGAACAAAAGGTTTTAATGTTACATCCCACGTTGCCCAGGGAAGTGGATCTTGTAAGCCTTATATGTATATTCTCATCTCTACCTAGCACGAGGCTTTTTGGCAACTCATTGGCTTCGGGTCCCATCGGAACTCTGAAGTTAAGCGAGTTCACGCGAGAGCAATCCCATGATGGGTGACCCATTGGGAAGTTCTCGTGTGAATTCCCAGAAACAAAACCGTGAGGGCATGGTTGGGGCCCAAAACGGACAATATCGTGCTACGGCGGAGTCAAGCCTGGGATGTAGTGGGAGCCCGGGCTGGGATGTGACATTTGATTTAACGGATCACTTATGGGTTCATCGTTTTCGATGCAATGGGTGCTTTAACAAGACCAAACAGGGTCTTAGTTTCAAACATAGACACTATTTATGAAACGAAACCAAGAATTAGACACTATTTCTAAAACTAAACCCATAGGTGGACTATTTATGAAACTGGACTACACACTATTTATAAGATTGGACCAAGAACTAGACATTATTTATGAAACATGACCAAGAACTAGTTACTATTTATGAAAGTGGACCAATAACTAGGTACTATTTATTACATCAGACCAAAAAAGGAGACACTATTTATGAAACTGTACCATTACCATATACTATTTATGAAACTATACCATTACCATATACTATTTATGAAACTTGACCAAATAACTAGGCACTATTTATGAAACATGATCAAGAACTTGGCACTATTTATAAAATTGGACCAATAAATAGTGTAATATTGTTTTCATAAATAGTGTTTAGTTTCATAAATAGTACTTAGTTCTAATCCCTTTGTCATCTTCAGTTGTGCTAAAAAGATGGTAACCGCCACACAAACCCTTACAACCTCTTAGGTTCAATTCCTTGAGATGTGGGAGTTTTGAAAAGTTTGGTAATTCAGTCAGGTTATGACAGTCTCTAACCATGAGATACTTCAACTTCTTAGGTAACTGTAACTCAAAAAGAGAAAACAATAATAAAAATCAAAATAAATAAAAGAGAGAATGCATGATGATTACTGATGTTAATATTTACAAAGACATTGATAATTATATTGTACCAGGTCCGAATCCTCCCAAACTCACCATCTTGTTATGCCTTAGGTAAATATAAACTAGGTTTTGTTGATCAAAATCTGCTGGTATGGCTTCAAGAGGAAATCCATTCCAATACAACAATCTTAACTCCTTGGAAAGATGTTTGTAGCTTCCAGTCAGCTTTACATTTACCAGCTTGAGAAATTTCAGACGTTACATTTTCTTAAATGCTTATGTATTGAAGCTTTGCTCGTCATCAGAATCTTCTGGCAAAACTAAGTCTAGTCCTTCAACTGCTTCTGTTCCTTGTTAGAGATTAAAAAAAACAAGAAAAGGATAATATTTACACGAAGCAGAGCCTTTCAATTTACAGTGGATGAAAGCCCTTCCTTTTCTTCCTTTTCTTCAAATATACTATGTACGGCATACATCATATATTTGCAGATATGCGTATATACTTCTCTTTCCTTGCATGTACTTAACATAACATCTTTTTTATTGCAAAAGTACTTACAGATTCGTTCCTTAGCACGCTTTTTGCATCTTCTGACATGCCCAACCTCGATATTCTGACTGCCACGTGGCAGTCTCTCCTTCTTTTCTCTCTCTCTCTCTCGCAGCTCACTTCCTTTCTTTCTCTCAAATTCCCCTGAGCCCTCTTTCTCATGGACCTCTCTGTACTCTCCCCTCTTCGACACCCACATCCACACACCCAACTAGACAAACGACGATGGAACCAGCCTAGAACTGAGCCTAGAACCATCGGCCCAACATAGCTGACTAGGCCCGTTGACCCGGTTAACCTGACCTGGACCCGTTGACTTTGACTTTGACCGTTGACTTTTTGGGTTTTGGACAAGACCCCTCATAGACTAATTTCCATGTCCTGGATCTATTTTTGACATCCGTTTTCCCAAATTTAATCGCTTGAATAGAGTTTTATTAATTGGACACCTTTATGTGCTTAGGTGCATTTATTATGGCATTTCCATCTTCGCTAGTTTGCGTGGCTCTTCGGCGGCGAAGTATCTGTGAGTGTATCCCTTCTAAAATGCATGTTTTAATAGTAGAAATGTGTTGATGCACAAAACCGGAGGTTGGAACAATGTAAATCCGACCATGAATCTGCATGAAATGTAAATAACACAAGATGTATCGTGGTTTACCCTAAGGTTTGGGCTACGTCCACACTGATTATGTATTTATTTGAGGGAGAGAGAGCTTTGAGAGTGAGAGCTTTGAGAGGGTGAGGAGCCTTAGGAATTGGCCTCCTCTAATTGTGAGGGTGAGGGGTCTTTTTATAGAATAAGGACTCCTCACTTATTACATATTTGCCCCTTCCTTTATCACATAATTATATTTAAGTCCCCCGAGTATTTGTACGAGATCTAAATACGAGGCCCTAAATATGGTATAAACAAAATGTATACATGAAAGGCATGATTTAATGATTACGTTTTATGAAATGTTTTATAAGATATTATGCTTACTAAGAATATTTTGGAATATCATATTTTATCAAACTGATGTTCCTTGTAGTATATATGATGGATGACTATATACTATTTGGAACATGCTTTACACGCTTCTTTGTAGTATATATGATGGATGACTATATGATATGAAATTTTTTTTAGATATATGTGCCTATGTTTGGAAAGACTATGTTCAATGTTTTGTGCGTATTTAGTGGTCACTGTTCTACCTATGGGCGAGGGAGATATATGTCTGAGGGAGACATATGGCTGGCAGGAGGTATATGTAGATGGCTTCGAGCCGAAAGATACTGATACTGATACCACTAGTTAGCACATTATATACGAGATATGTTTTATGAAGGTTTTATGGCATGTTAGGGTTTCAGAAACCTATTACATATTATGCTATGAGTTATCATTAAACTTTGGGGGTTAGTATGTTGAATAACTATTTCAGTATTATATATATATATATATATATATATATATATATCAACTTGGTCCACTCATGTTTGTTTTGCATCTTGTTCTTATGCATTCTATTATGGCTTCGTCACCTTTGGGTGTCGGCCAGCACGTGCCTACCATGATGTTTGAGAGAATATCTAGGTCGGGCATGTCATCTTCACTATGCCACAATCGACTACGTTTTCTCAATTCCACATGAGATTCTGCCCGCACATCAAATCATGCATCCTCAATTTTATATCTACACCAATATCTAAGAGACATCGATCGCAGAGTGTGGTAATTTATGCTTCTACAGAAAAATGACTACAACCATGCAATATTGCCTTGAAAAAACTTGTATGCAGACCAATAAAGAAACAAGATATGTCAATGAACACACCCTTCACATGATCATCACATAGCCCATCGTAACTTAATTTAAGTGTTTCATGAATTTTTCCATCTGGAATATTTCTCAATTTACCAATGTACTTTTCCATATGCTTTTACTCTTTTTTGTAGCTGACAAACGACCAACAACTGTAAGAGCTAGGGGCAATCCTCCACAATAATCAACAATATCTCTTGCCAATTCAATATATTCTTTAATAGGATTATCATTTCCAAGGCATGCCAACTAAGGAGCTCAAGAGCTTCTTGTTTCTGTCATTGCTTATGCCTTATATTTTTTATCCACCTTTTTGTATATTCAGCACATGTTCATCTCTTATTATTATAATAATTATGCTCCCTGGACCAAATGATTCATGTTCTATTGCCAATTCATCTAATTGGTTTGCATCATCTATGCCATCAACCACAACAAGTACCTTCATGCTTCCAAGTCTTTTCTTTACCTCTTTGGTCCCTTTGGCAACATTGCTTACCTTAATGTCAGGCTGTTTTAAAATATCTCAAAGAAGTTGTTCATGCAGACTAAACATATTTTTCTTTTTACTCCTCACCTCTTCAAGGTAACATTCACGAATAAAACTATGCTGATAATTGCTACAAACTTCTCTGGCAAGCGTTGTTTTACCTATACTACCCATACCCCAAATTCCAATTATTTGAACATCAGGTGAACCTCCAACGTCTAAGTATTCAGTACTGCATTCTTGCATGCGAAAAGTCATCCAACTGAGTGCTTGGCTTCTAAGTCTGTGGTTTTCAGTAGTCCCTTGACGTCCCCAACAATTTTCTCGATAAACACTCCTTCACACCTACAAGTAGAAATTCCAAATTACGAGAGCCATACTAAATGCCTTATTCATAATGACTAGATATTTACATATTGAAACAAATTTGAATAAACTGGATTAATTGAGCTTAATTCAACCACGTATCTAATATTTGATTATAATGTGAATACATTAGATCATTGGTGATTGGACTATTATGCAGTTGTAGATTTCAGTAATATAATTAAGAATCCAGTACAATTGGTATTTTAATTTGATAACGTGTGGAGCATTTGTCCTTCACACACCCATAAAAAATAAAGCACGTACCTTGCGTTTCACTTCCTTAATTTTGATTGAAATTCTTATGCAAATGCTCTACCTTTATATATATATATATATATCATTATTATTAAATTAATATTTTGCTTATCGTGTATCGGGCTACTCACGTGTATATTCGAACTAACATGTTATCTTAACAGGAACTTATCAGATTACTCAATAACGATCCGATTCGTTATTGAATCAACCCGATAGCCTGTTAATTTCATGTCGGATTAACATATCGTGTCATAAATTGCCAAACTCACGTGTTATTCACACGGTAATGTAGTGACACGATCGACTTCAAAAGAATAATACTTACTACCCAAGTTTGTGACCCAATGGTATTGATCAATAAGCATTTAACACGTAGTTTATAAAAAAAATGCAAACCCACCCAAATTACACGCCGTTAAGTCGTTAACCTTTTAGCTTCTAAGTTACGCGTGCCGCTCACACTGAAATGATCAGAGGGTTTTGACTTTCTTTTCTCGAAAGCCAGCTGCACCAATTGGTCATCGATGGATACCAGCAGCACCGCCCGTGGAACCGCCATCGTAGCCTCTTTGTCTTCACCGTGCCGCTCAAACGGCTGGAAGTACGAGGTGTTTCTGAGCTTTAGAGGCGACGACACATGCACTAACCACACAGACAACCTCTCCTTTGCGTTACGCTATGCCGAAATCCACACGCTCATAGACTACTAGCTCAGAAGAGGGGAAAACATACAGAGTGAACTTGACCGATAAATCGAAGGGTCCATAATCGCCATCGTCGTCTTCTCCAAGGGGTACGCGGAGTCCCAGTGGTGCTTGAGGGAGCTGGCCAAGATCATGAGGTGCCGAGAAGATCAAGAGGGCAAAATAGTCTATCCAATATTCTATGCCGTCGAGAGGAAACAAAGTGGTGGTTTTGGGGAAGTTCGGAAGCATGAAAGCGATGAAAATCCAAACGAACAAGCAGCAGAGAAGGATCTTAAGGCTTCGTTCCGGCGGACGGGTATAATTCCTTCTTTAACTCCTTTTTACAATTTTTTTATGCTCAAATTTACTCACTTTACTCAAATCTTCTTTGCTCAGAAAATATCTGGTCATAATGAATGACGCATTTAGTTCATCTGAATCTTGAAGTTGCCTGATCAGTCTTATTTTTGTAAAATTTTGAAATTTAATTGCCCGGCGTGAAGGGTTGTTTATTGAGGAAATTGTTAAGGACATCAGATGACTACTGAAAACAACAGACTTAAAACAAGCCAAGTGCTCGGTTGGAATGGATTTTCTTGTGCAATAGTTCAGCACTGAATGCTTAGCTGTTGGAGATTTGCTTGATCTTCAAATAATTGCAATTTGTGGTATGTGCAGTATAGGTGAAACAACACTTGCGAGAGCTATGTGTAGCGAATATCATCATTGCTTTAGTGGTCAATGTTACCTTGAAAAGGAGAGGAGTAAAAAAGAAAAGTATCGTTGCTCTGCAAGAACAACTTCTTCGAGATGTTTTGAAACGGCTGGACATTAATGTGAGCAGTGTTGCCCAAGAACCAAAGAGATAGAGAAAAGACTTGGAAGCATGAAGGTGCTTGTCGTCGTTCTGGCATAGATGATGCTGGCCAATTAGATGAATTGGCGATAAAACATGAATCGACTACGTTTGTTAAGATTCAGCCCACCCAAATCTGCAGAAGCATTAAGTGCTCAACCTCATTTGGATCTTCATCCCTTTCATGCTTCCAATATGCATTTCCAATAATAACACTATTTCCTCAAAGGGTCGACATCGTACAATATTGGATGGACTACTTTCCCCTCTTGATCTTCTTGGCACCTCATGATCTTGGCCAGCTCCCTCAGGCACCATCCAGACTTCGTGTACCTCTTTGAGAAGACAGACGACGGCCCTTTGATTTCTTGGTCAAGTTCACCCTGTATGTTTTCCCCTCTTCTGAGCTGGTAGTCTATGAGCGTGTGGATTCCGGCATTGTGTACCGTAATGGAGAGGTGGTCAGTGAAGGTAGTGCGTGTGTCGTCGCCTCTAAAGCCCAGAAACACCTCTTACTTCCAGGGGTTTGAGCGGCACGGTGAAGACGAAGAGGCTGCGATGGCGGTTCCACGGGCGGTGCTGCTGGTATCCATCGATAATTAGTACTAGTGTTGAGAGACTAAAGGGAGTGCAGCAGGCTGTGCGGCTTGGCTTTCAGATAGCCAAAGTCAAGTCAAATGTCATCGCCTAAGTATTATAGAGAAACGAAATGCGTGGAGGGATATGAATATACATGTATATGGCATTGCATATATTTATGACAAAATATGGTAACACTTACTTTTTTACGTGTGACGTAAAATATATGAAATACTTACATTGCCTTACTTGTTTGTTTACACATTTTGTGAAATTTATATTGACATGGTACTATCAGTATTTGTCACTATCTGCTTGACAACACATGATTATGCGTTTCAATCAACGCTTAGGTTAGACCATATCATGAATTCACAAAGGAGTGAGAATGAGGATCAACTAGCCCGCTTAGTTTATTTGATTCATTAGTAAATACCGGAAAATCAAGAATCAACATGACGTATACATGGCTCCCCATATCGAAGAAAGAAAAGACATTGCACGTACTTAAAAGTAATTACACTCACAAATAACTGACTAATCAGAGCCAGACGTCATTAACCAGTAATGGGATTGTAATCCTTTCAATATTCAAATCAATTAACAAGCTCATAAGATGAGTTCAGGTTTAGGGTACCTCATCAGATGAGTGATGGCTAGCTTAGCTCCGTCTGCAACGTCAATAGTGTCGTCATCAGTGCATGCCTTCATCAGGCAGTATTCATGGTATAGTTTGATATCGTCACCAGACTAAATTTTTGGTACACGCTGATAGTGCACCTTCTTAAATTTTATAAATAAATGATCCATTTCCAGAATTCACACTTCTCCATCAGACAAATCCCATTTTGTGATATCCACTCCTGTTTTCTTCACCTTAATTTGATGACCATCCACTGCTCCATAAAATTTTGCTTGTACAAGAACCACGTCGTCCGCCTTTTAGATTGAGCTTCTTGTTTTAAAAAATGTCCCACCCAAAGGTAACATTCATGGGAAGCAGTTACAGTGGCCACAATTGACCAAATGAGAAAATGAGTTCGCTGGGTATAGTTAACAACACGAATGCATAGAGGCCCAGTACACTCAAAGTGGTACGCAGAATAAACTATGCAAATAGCCAACCCTCCTATATAAACATCAGTCCTTTGCGGCACTTCAAATTTGACAACTTCATGCTCGTTCGCGACATAGGCCAACCAGTAAGGAATATCATTTCCAGCCGGCCGAATGCGTTTATATTGGAAGAAGTATGTCAACTAGGGCTAGGTTGTATGTCCACTGTACAAAGTTGTTAACCTAGTTTTAGGGTGATAGTGTGATATACCGTGTAGAGTGGCTAGTTTCTGCCACCTTCAGCATGGGTATCACCATTTGTCTCTTGTTGTCAGTCCCCTTAATTCAAGGGATGTGTATCTTACTTGTTTTGTTAGCTTTAGGCGTAAATCAAGGAGGGGTAGGAAGTCTTGTTTCTTACCTCTAGCACATATATATTGGCTGTCTCTTGTACTTTGTTCTTTTATGATGAATATACAATTCACAAAATACACTATGGTATCAGAGCAGTGACCCTAACCGGCCTATCTCTGTGGATTTTCTTGAGAGTTTTGTGAGCTTCTTCTTGTCCTTCAAACATGGCTAAAGAGAGCTTATTGAATTTGGAATGAGACAGCTACCATGTTGCTCCATCATCACCACATTCAGATGTTGATATCAACCCAAATCAACGTCTTAGTTCTGTCTTGCTAAATGAGTTTAACTACCTTCCATGGGGGAGAGCAGTTACTCTTGCTCTGGGAGGACGATCAAAGCTTGGTTATGTCAATGGTGTTATCCCAATGCATGAGATTACCTCACCGGATTATGATGCTTGGCTATGCAAAGATCAGTTGGTTATGTCGTGGTTACTCAATTCCATGAATCGCAAGATTGCATAAATGTTCAGCTATGCTGAATCCTCCATGACTATTTGGAAAAATCTTAAGGAAATGTATGAAAATTAGAACAATGCGGCTCGTGTGTTTCAGTTGAAAAAGGATATTGCTGGCTTGCAACATGAAGGAAAGCCATTTGTGCAACATCTTGAAAAGTTGACCTCTACGTGGAATGAGTTGAATGTGTATCGACCACACATCATCGACATTGCTGTGCCAATTAAGAGAGTCGAGGAAGACAATATATTCCAACTCCTAGCAAGCCTGAGCCCTGAACTCGAAGATCTTTGAAGCCATATCCTCATGAATCCCGACTTGCCTTCTTTTTCAAGTGTGTGTGCCATGATTCAAAGAGAAAAGGTTCGAAGGAAGGTCATGACCTTGGAAGTAAAGGAAAATATACTAGAAGCTAGGGCTTATTTCTTTAACCACAAACTTGATGAGGAGAGGGGCTACAAAGGAAAGAAAACTGGCTTAAAATATAGCCATTGTGATGCTGGTGGGCACTCAAGAGACCGATGCTGGATTCTTCATCCAGAGCTAAAACCAAAGTTTCCTAGGGATAAAAAGGGTGTCTCTAAAGGCTCGTACAACCCTTCTTACAAGGCAAATCATGTTGCCATAACTTCTTCCAAGGGAGCACTGAAGTTCACCACTAATCCAGCCACACTGATCAACTAGTTTGTTGCGTTTCTTCATAAGAAACAAGGTATTAGAGATTGTGAATGACCACCAAATTAGTGTGACAACAATCAAACTACACTACTAGGACAGTTTGTTGGCTTCCTGGTTGGAAATGAAGGCATGGTACAATGGGACATCCCAGGTATCTTACACTTTTACACTCTTTCTCAACTGCTCTCAACATTGGTAATGTGCATGATTATTGGATTATAGATTCTAGAGCCACTGATCATATGACTAACAAGTCTACAAACTTGCATAATTTTGAAAAACTTTCAATTCCATCTCAAGTGTCAGTTGCCAATGGCAAAAATGTTGTGGTTGTAGGAAAAAGGAAAACGCATTTGATCTCAAGTGATGTCAAGTCTGAGGCTTTTTATGTTCCTTCATTCCCTTTTCAACTTTTTTTTGTTGGCAAAATCACAAACTCATTAAATTGTCTAGCTATTTTCTCTTAAAAAAATGTGATTTTTCAGGATGTAGTCACCAAGAAGACGATTGGTGAATGATTTTTCTTAAATGGTTTCTACTATCTTTCCAAGCATATTCAAGTTCCCAAGGTTTTTCAAGTCACTTCAAGCTTAGCTCAAGAACAACTTTGGCACCAAAGACTAACACGTCCTGCTGAAAAAAGTGCTATCCACCCTGTTCCCAAACCTGTGCAAAGTTACAAGTCCTTGTGATGTTTGTCACTTCTCCAAGTTTACTAGATTACCATTTACTCCCTCTTTGTCTAGGGCTAGTAATCCTTTTGAAATCGTGCATTCCAATGTTGGGGACCAATCCTATAGTCTTTTGATGGATACAAATATTTTATAACTTTTGTGGATGATTTCACAAGGATCACTTGGTTGTACCTTTTTAAATTTAAAAGTGAAGTGATTGAAGTTTTTCAAGATTTTCATAGACTTGTAAACACACAATTTGCTTCAAAAATTCATGCTTTACGATCAGATAATGGCACCGAATATATGTCCCATAACATGTCACACTACTTGAGCACGCATGGTATATTACACCAAACAAGTTGTGTTGGAACACCCCAACAAAATGGGGTGGCCAAGAGGAAGAATAGAGATTTACTTGAGAAGACTAGAGCTCTTATGTTTCACATGAATGTGCCCATGAAATTTTGGTCCCAATGAGTTCTTACTGTGGCATATCTCATCAATTGATTGCCAAGTAAAGTGTTGAATTTTAAATCACCTTATGAGATCTTGAAAAGTCTTTGGGTGTACATGCTTTGTTCACATTCAAGCACAAAATCGTGACAAGCTAGACCCAAGGGCTGCCAAATGTGTCTTTCTAGGTTATTCATCCAAAAAGGTTACAAGTGCTACAATCCAACAACTTAAAAAAAGGTTGTTTCAAGGGACGTTAAATTTGAAGAACATGTCCCTTACTTCCTACAATCACTGGATTACTCTAGACAGGGGGAGCATTTTCTAGATTTATTTCCAATTCCATATCCAAATGGAGAAGATACAACATGCATTCCTAGTGATCATGTGCCTGATGATGTTAATCTTCACTCGGTGGCACATGTTGAAGATGAAACCTCTTTTTCATCAGAGACTCAACCTGCACCCTTCAATAATCCTTCCAACCAAGATATTGTTCAGTTACCTACAACTCAATCTCCTCCAGTTAGTCACAATCTTGCCCGTGAAAGGAAACTTCCATCCAAGTTGCATAATTATGTGACCTACACTGCCAGGTATCCCATGACTGATGTTATTGATTATAGCAAATTCTCACCTTCTTTTGCCACATTCCTAAGTGCCATTAATGAGGCTCACGAACCACAAAGTTTTCAAGAAACCAATCTTCATAGTGAGTGGAGAATTGCTATGGCAGAAGAGCTTCAAGCTCTCCATGAAAATAACAGACCATAGTGAAACTTCCAAAAGGGAAAAAGGCAGTAGGAAGCCGCTGGGTGTACAAAACTAAGTTTCATTCAGATGTCACGATTGAAAGGAATAAGGCTCACTTGGTTGCTCGAGGTTTTACACAAACCTATGGGGTTGATTATAAGGAGACATTTGCTTCCGTGGCAAAAATGAACATTGTTACGGTGTTGTTGTCAGTTGCAATTAACAATGCATGGCCTCTTTTTCAAATGGATGTTAAAAATGCTTTTCTTCATGGTGAACTTGAAGAAGAGGTTTACATGAAGCTTCCCTAGGTCATCCTCAATCAAACAACCTAGAAATGGTGTGCAAACTTCTTAAATCCATTTATGGTCTCAAGCAAAGTCCACGTGCATAGTATTCCAAGCTCAGTTATGTTCTAGAAAGGGTTGGCTTATGTTGACGATCTAATTATGATAGGTGATAATATGTTAGAGATTAATGCTCTTGAACAGTATCTCAACAAGAAGTTTGCTATCAAGGATCTTGGCACTCTCAAATACTTTCTGGGCATTGAGATGGCACACTCACACAAGGGTTTCTTCCTCAACCAACGCAAGTATGTTATGGATCTTCTTCACGAAGCAAAAATGACAGATTGTAAGCCTGCTCGCACCCCCTTGGATAGCAACTTGAAGCTGAAAACTCAAGGTGATCCTATTCCCAATTTAAGCTACTATCAAAGAATGGTTGGCAAACTCATTTATCTAACTATCACACGTCCTGATATATCATATGTCGTTAGTCTTGTTAACCAATTTATGCACTCTCCAAGCATGGATCATTTGAAGATTGTTCATCATGTGCTTCGTTATCTTAAAGGTTCCATTGGTAGAGGAATTCTTATGCACAACAATAGTCACACTCACATCTCAGGCTATACCGATGCTGATTGGGTAGGAAATTCCCTCGATTGCAAGTCCACCACTGGGTTCTATACGTTTGTGGGAGGCAACCTAGTCACCTGGAAAAGCAAGAAACAAAGTATTGTTCTGCATGTGGCATATGCTATAGAGGTTGGACGCTACGTTACTTGTTTGGGGAATAAACAAACTCTTGCTCCTGTTCTTCTATCTTTATTTCCATATGAGTAACTTTTCCTTCTGCAAATATATTTTTATGACCTTTGATTTCCTGTACCCCAAGCATTTCGATGGCTGGATATGTATGCTCAGAATATGATTCACTACTTATAGTTTGTGTTCAGATCCTATCCGATAGAAGATAAAAAATAATCAGTTTGCAATATATAAGGTTTGACAACATTCGATATCAAGAAAAAAACCAACTTATGAGCATTATTTATGGTTTGATACAGACTCCTAAAATGAGTTGTTTATAACACAAAACAAGGCCGAGAAGAACTTATAGTGGCTCGTATCAAAAATGAGAATTAAGCCATACCCCCTTATTAGCTGAATTACCAGTGGATGAAATTTAAATCAGTAGTACATACCAAAAGAGAAACGTTGAGCATGTCAGACACCAATTTCAGTTCATTCATTTACTTGACAATCAATGCCAGACGCTTCAGGATTTTGGCATTATATTTCTACGCATGGGTTTCATGCTACCAAGATTCCATGTTATTCATCGTCATCTACTTTCAGAGGCTGCTATGTTTTAAGAAGGCAGGTGCAAAGATTTAGTCATTATCACCGTCACGTCATTTTCATTTTTTTCACTAGGATGAAACCTTATCCCCTAAATTTGATTGTCGAAGGCTCCAAGGATTGTGCATTATTTGTTATCTGTAGTTCATTACAACCTTATATCCAGTATTCATAAATACAAAGTCAATGTAGAAAAGAAACAGAAAGGATGTCTATACGCATCACGTACCTGTGAACAATACTGCAACAAAAAAATTGCCCCAACGATGAACCACCAATCTTTGCAGTGCTGACCTGTTTGTCCACAAGAACTAGCAGCATGGTGAATTTTGCACGATCCTGGACGTCCCAAGGGCAAAGTTTTTACATACATTTCATTTCTTCATAGGTAACTAAGGTCGGTCCTCCTTCAGAATTCCAGACACTTAAATAGTACGACTGCATGTGTATAGGGTTGGTCATGTAGAGTGCTTACATCAACGCGTGCATAATTAAAAAAGAAAGATAAGAAACGAAATTCATGTAACCGTCCTAGCAATGCAAGCATATTACACCAACCCATACATTAAGAATATTTTCTAAAGTAGACAATAAGAGAAAAAGGTGCCGACATGATGCAATCATCCTGCTTTCATTTTGGTATAGATTGTCCCTTCAAGCTGATTAGTACTTAGCAATATAGACCTTCAACCAGGTTACAACATTGAACCTGAGGCCTTTCAGCCTATATCTGGATTCTCTAGGATGCATAAACCAGTAAGCACATTAGGTCATAAACAACCATAAATTTAAAGAAAGCTAGATAGAAGGATAGTAACAAATTAAAGGATTAAAAAGAACCTAGACCATAACGGATATATAATGTACATGACTTCATTGACATTTGGTGAAAGGATTGAAACAACCTCCAATTGATCAAGCTAATAAATTTTATTGCTAATGATGGAAGATTTAAACATACAGATTATAGAGAGGTGACTGAACTAAATGGAACCATATCTTCGGGTTCCTGGACAGAGAGGTTTGCACATATTACATATACTCAGTAGTAAATTACAATGAGTGATGGTAATTTCTACTCCTGATGCTTCCCCTTGTACAAACATCTTTTAGTGTTCGTAAGCAGGAAACTTTGCCTGAGAAGGTTCAAGCATGTCCAATAAAAGGTAAGCCATACCTCCAACTCCTTCAAACAAGGAGTAGGGGCTATCGCCTCTATGCATCTCACCCTGCGATATAAGCTTGTGAGATCTATCGAGTAGGAAACAAGCAAAAGCTTTGGCTCTGTATAAGAACACTACATTTCCTGTCAGTTGGTAGAGCGAGAGGAACACATATGCATTTCCACTAATGCCATGGCAAATCCCCACTCGCTTTAGCAGTCCACGTTTCCAGACAACCTCTGCCGCATCAGCAGCTGCTTCCAGAAATTCTTTATCTCCAAAAACCTGGGATTTACCATATCTTTAATAGTAGACAGACTAAAAGAGGAGACACAATACAAGTCGACAGTGAATAATTTGAAGATTCGGACAATTAAAGCCGCTTGCTCATGTCAGCGTGAGGTTTATAATGCAACTTCTATGGAAGAATGACACAAATTCTATACTTCCATCACACAATGTGTGCTTTAAGGAGAAGTTTCTTTGGGAAAAAACTTCGAATATAGCTCATTAATGTTAATGAAATGTATTCACGGTCAATACTAATAAACAGTGTTCGATAAATGTCTAGAGAACAAATTATAAAAGAATCTTAAACGTTTAAATCCAAAACCAGTTTGGACAAGAAATCCACATGAAATTTTTTAGCAAACAATTGAAAAGAAGCCCATGAAATTCTATACATGAAAAGAGCATTCAAATTCTTACCTTAGCAGCTTTGGCAAGTGTGAGGGCAATCCCAGGAGCCCCATGACACCAGTGTACTAGAACATCTCGATGTCTATCTTCTTCGCTAGCAGGGTAGTTACCACTAGGAAAACGATTGTTAATCATGTACTTGAGAGTGCCCTTGACATCTTCAACCTCATCAGGCTTCAATTCCATGTCCATCAAAACATGCATAATCCCTGCCAATCCATGTGCAGCCCCCCAATACTTCTCCCCATACCACTCAAACATCAATGGACATCTTCCTCCCTTACCCAATGCTCGACCGTTCTTGATAATTTCATCCACAACTGCTCTCTGCACACACAAATCCAAAATACAAGCCGGCCATACACCCATTAATAAATTAATGCACTACATACATACACACACAATTTGAACTTTTTTTTTTCGTTTGAGCGATATTTTAATCTAATCCAAACTACGGGAGGGGATTTCCAACTTAGGTGCAAAGGGTAGTACACCGCTCTTGCCAACTTCGACTTTGCTAATAGTGTACTTAACCAAAAGGACTAAAATTTAAACTCAATTGGGTTCAATAAAAGTTATAAAACTATTGCTAATAGTGTACTTACCATGTAAGCTGAAGAAATTGTACCATCCCCCAAATGTTTGTTCAGAAATAAGCAAGCCCACAAAAACCCAACTTTCCCATACAACAATTCATCAGGGAGACTTCTGGAAAGCTTAATCTCCCTAAATTGTGCCAAATAATAACTCAGAGAAGCAGAGTCGCCGCAGTGCTTCGCCGCAACCGCGCCAAGAGCACAAACACCCGCCCTCCCGCACATAAATGTGACAACATCCCTCGAACCCAGAGAGGCAGAGTCGCAGGCCTTGACGATCTGAGCACAGAGAGTGATATCGTTCGCGTCGCCGGTGACTTGGTACGATTTGAAGAGGAGAAAGGCGGTGCCCAGAGCGCCGGAATAGAGAGTGAAGTCGTGAAGGCTTTGTGCGGCGGCGGCTCCGGCCCACGTCTCTGTAAGGATGGTTTGTTTGAGGTCCGAGGCCGCGCGTTTGAGAAGGTGTGAGAGAGATGGGCAGGGCGTGGAGAGGAGGTTCATGAGCGAGTCATTTCCGTGTTCTGCTTGTGGAGGTGATGGGGTTGGTGCTTCGGCTACCATGTCTGGCATTATATTTGGGAAGAATCGGTCTGCCATTGTCGAGTGCGACTGCTGAGTGCTGAGCTTGTTGGGTGGAAAGTTTACTGAGGAAGAGTAGATCAGGAAGGTGAAGCAGCGTCTGAAAGCGCAAGCGGATACGGATAGCTGTGCTTATTACACGTCGAAGGCGGCGGGGTAAAACGTGTCATAACATACTGTAAAGACACTCGAAAAACTTATTTTCACTTATATTTAGATCATCTCCCAACCTTAGCTCAAAAATTATTTTTCTGCTTCAACATTTTTAGCTTAAAATTTTAACTCTAGATTATTAAAGAATGAATTTGTTTGGATCTGATTTTACACTATCGATCTGGTGGCGTTGAAATCTTTAAATAACTCCAAGACTAAATAGATTTTTCTTGATATTACTGTTAATTTTAATCATGGTAATTATCTTAAGAGAGATCTTTTGAGTCTGAGGAGATCGGGAAAGATCAAATGGGAGTAATACTGTGCGAGAGTTGTGAAAGCTTGTGATGCCATGCCTTTTTGCTTGGATAAAGGATTAAACTAATTGTATTTGATTTGAAAAGCATGCAGCATGTGATGACTTGATTGACTCACATTCAAACTCAGTGGGTTTGTGATTTTCCATTTGAATTAATGGAGATAAGCATGCATCTGAGACAGTAACAAGCCCACGTGGCTTCTTGTTATCAACCTAGAGTTTCGTTTGAGATAAAATACATCTCATCAAGCACATGGCCTTATCATGAAATATTATTTGGTTTTATGCATGCACAGAATAAAGTCGTAAACATTGGAAGAGATGAGCGACCAGATGATGGGTTGAGTGAAGGATTATAATTGAATTGCGACTCTTTACAGAGTTACATGGATGTATATGCGCATATAACTTGGGAGATGGAGTTTTGGTTGGGAAAAAACACGTCATCCAATGGGTTTACAGCCAATATAAATACAAAGTCGTAGGCAACATCCAGGGGACCTCCAATTCAACACACAAAACTGTCTTATGTAAACTCTCTCAACAACTTTGAGATTTTTTTTATTTTCTTTTTCGCTGACACATCTTCAGTTGGCATAAATAGCACTGTGGAGGCAACTGGTGATATCTTCAGTTGGCATAAACAGCACTATCGCTGCAGAATTAGCCGATCCTGCAGCATCTTCAGTTGGTATAAACAGCATTGCGTCGAGGCCGACTGGTTACCTATCCAAGTCTCGGTCAAGAAGGATTTTCAAATCCTTGTTGGCCAAGGTCATCTCATCAGCCTTCTCGGCGAAGTGAGGTGTTACGAGTTACTACATTCGGCACATTGGAAGCTGAATTTGATATTGAACTTCGCTAAGTTAGCAACCTTGTCTTTAGGCTTTAGGATTCGAAGGCCAAGACAAGTTCCTTCCTCGGCCACAGTCGCAAGATCAAGAAGTCAGCAGCGCACCCAACACGACATCAACATATTTTACTCATCAACCGAGCTCGGCCAACGAGTTGGCTGATAGGAGCATATTTATGCGACTTAGTTAGCTTGTTCTTGTGCATTTATGTTGTTATTTCTTAGTTAATTTACTATTTCAAGCTATTTTCGTGTGTTTGTAGGCTAAAGTGGCAAGAAAAGGCATTTTGGTGCCTTTTGGTGCAGTTTTGGATTGAATTGGAGTGCATGCATGGGGAGCAAGTTGGATGGACGTTTTTGGTGCTTAAATGAGGTTAGAAACATGCTACAAATCTGGAGTGCAAGTTGCAAGAATGGTTGGTGAACTCATTTAATCTGCCAGATTTGAGTTGTTGGTGAACTCATTTAACCTACCAGATTTGAGTTGTTGGTGTACTCACCTAACCTACCTAAATTGAATGGAATGTGCACTCACCTAACTCACCTAATTCATACTCTCCCTATAACTAGCCGTACATTTCATTAGGAAGAGGCATCAATTATTCACCATTCTACACATCCATTCACTCCCATACACAATTCCAACCATTCTCCTTTCCTTGCCGCAGCCCCATTCAACCTTTACACATCTCTTACCCCTGCAATCAGCCATAAACATACATAGTCACTTGTGCCGCAGCAAGGTGGGGGAAGAAGAAGGGCTTTTGACACTTCAAGCTTGAGGATTGAAGCGTTTTAGGTGTACTTCGTTCTTGTTTTCAATGTCTACTTTATTATTCCCTTATTTTGTTGTAACTATGAGTGGCTAAACCCCTACTTAACTAGGGGGAAGTTCGAAGCCATGAACATCCTTGAGATATGAATTGATTTCTTCCAATTGTGATTTGATAGGATGTGAATGCAATTCAATTAACTGTTTTCTTCAAAACTGATTCTTGTATGTTGATTAAGGATGCATACTTAGTTTTCATGCATGAATTTGATGCTAGAATATAAATGAGTTTCACCTAATCGTTACAAATTTATATTCATGAGTAGTGAAGGTTGCTGGTCATAATCGCATTAATTGAATTCTTAGCAAACGTATCATGCATTCATAGTTACGAATGTCTTGTCAACACTTATGATTTTCATGGAACGTAATGATCTCTGATTGTATCTCTATTATGCATTCATGTAGGGGACATTTGGAGAATGATTTGGGTTGTCGCATGTATTCATCCAATTTAATGAGTAAAGGAAAATCTGAGGGTTAATTAGTGCATCACGGTTAATCTGGGGTGTTGCGCTTCATAATTTATTGAAAATCAATTGGAAATCGATTCATGTACAAGTGTGTCATGTGTGAAGAATGGACCTCTAGCTAATCCATCAACCATCTTATTTCCCAAAATTCGTTTTACAATCTGTTTAGTTTTACAATTTGTTTGTTTGTTTCAAATTCATCAAAACCAAATCCCCATTTAATTTAGAGTGTCAATAAGTTAGAATCTGTCTTAGTTTGTGGTTTTAAGCTGTTTTGAGTCATTCTAGTTAGTTTTGAGTCTTTTCAGTTTGTTTAAGTCTTTTGAGTCTAGTTAAGTGTTTTCAAGCTTAGTTTTGTGTATTAAAGTCAGATTAGCAATCCCTCATAATTCCCGGTTTAGAACGATCCATACTTATCCATACTACAATGGTCAACAAGAGGGTTTAATTTGTGTGTTAAGTTAATTTTCGCATCATTGGCACACCCCATATACAACCGAAGGACGTAGTTAGCTCATAGATTACTCGGCATCCGCGCCATTTAGGCTTGGTAGTTTTTAGGGTCACCAGAACTTAAGCTATTTTTTTTAAATTAGGTAAAATATCGTAAATTAATTTTATGAACATTTTAATCTAAAAATATTGAAATTCCGATAAATATTGAAAAATCACATATAAAAGGTGTTTGTACCATACTTGACGAATCCCGAAACTACTGAGCACCGGTCAACGTTATACAGTTAAGGACCCAGAAGAGTTTCCCTCCAACCAGGAGGCCAATCACAGTGCGACACGTGTTAACATCAGAAGCCAATCACAATACGACACGTGTCAATGTTAGAATGAAACTAGAAACTCTCTTCTATAAATAGAGATCATTCTCTCATAATATTTCCTAATGTCATTTATACTAAATCATTCACTAGTACTCACTAAAGGAGAGCTTGAACCTATTTACTTGTGTAAACCTTTCACAATTAATGAGAACTCCTCTACTCCGTGGACGTAGCCAATCTGGGTGAACCACATACATCTTGTGTTTGCTTCCCTGTCTTTATCCATTTACATACTTATCCACACTAGTGACCGAAGCAATCTAGCGAAGGTCACAAACTTAACACTTTCTGTTGTAACAAAGTCCTCACTGATTTTGTGCATCAACATTTGGCGCCGTCTGGGGGAATGACACTTATTCCCACTATTTTCAGCTTTGCCAAGCTGGTTTCCACCATTCGTACACTCTTTTTTGACCAACATCCCTTTTCTAACATGGGGAGCGAAGGAAGCCACAACACACAAAATGACAACCCTCTTGCACCTAGTGTGAAACAGCGAAAGAAGGAAGGAAAGAGGGTTGCTCTTCAAGCTAAAGTCGATGAGCTAGAAGATTAGAATAAACAAGATAGCAATGAAGAATGAGGTCTTCCAGGAGCAGTATGAGAAGCTCTTTGAGACGCTCCAAGAAACTAGGCGTACTTAAACACGCGAGCTCGTTGCCCCTGTGGACATCAACCATCATTTGGGTGCCCCCCAACACATAGAGGGTCACCTCCCTTCGACATGGGTATCCCTAATGAGGATCGAGTTAATCATCAAAACATTGATCAACATGAGACTTCTTTCAGCCCAGATGCTTCGCCCCTAAGTAGAAGAAGTTAAGGAAGACACCTCCTTACAGAAGGGTTGGAAGGATCGAAAGGTCGTTTATCGTGACTGCCGAGACTTCCTAAAGCAACGTCGAGAGAATCCCCTCCATATATGCTCGAAGATCAATGACCCAAGGGTTTCTGAAAGACTCGGTCCCTTTCCACGACCCAGACCAGCTGCCAATCTAGGGAAGGAATGACAGGTCCCAAAGGAACATGAAGGTACAAGGGACTCTGAGGTATTCCGACAGACTCGCCCTAGAAGTCAGTACGGCGAGTCCAAGAAAAAACCACACACCCATTGCTCAAACTTTCCTACTTCCAAGAGGTGATGGAGACTTACGAAAGAAAATTCCAGTGGTACATAACTCTACTCATGACCCCCATTGTCCTACAGCTCCTTGAAGAAGTAAACAAGTTGAAGGCCGAACGTCAGGCCGAGATACCTAACTGAAACCAACCCAGGCCTGACCCTCTCACAAGAAGGATCATCGACACCCCCTTCAAGCAAAGACAAAACAAAAGCTTGGTTTACAGCTATATACTGGACTGGAAGGAATGACCCAATTGAACACCTTAACCTCTTTGAGTCCACCATGACATATCGGATGCACACCGACGAAGAGCGATGTTTTCTCTTCCCCTCCACCATCTCTGGCGGAGCTCTAAACTGGTATTGTCGTCTTCCACCTGAGACAGCAGACTCATTTGAGGAATTGAGTAAATTGTTTATCTCTCAACA